TATTTAGATTTTTAGATATTTAAATTATTCTAAATAATAATAATAATAATGTAAATCATTTTTATAAATTTGATATTTATATTTATGTAATAATTAACATATAACTCAAATATTTAATGTGTATATATTATTAATGAAGAAGATAAGAAAATATATGTTAGATGCATGTGCATGGTAACAATGGCGGAAAAGATAACGGAAGTTATAACGGTAGGAATATGTTTGTCCAAAATATTTTAATGTACAACTTTTATAGCATAATGTACAAAAAAACTTAACGGACATAAATCAGGGGTATAACTTTCATTCACACTTATAATGTTTTTAGATTATTATTATTATTATTATTATTATTATTATTATTATTATTGTTGTTGTTGTTTTTTTTTTTTTTTTGATAAAAAGCCATTCAATAAACTCAAAGCAAACCCGCAATACAAGGTGGCGGGATAGCCTCCCACACGGCAAGGACAGAGTTTGAACTAGTTGCCCGGGCTAGTGCATGAACCACTTGGTTCGCTGACCTTCTGACATGGTGAACTCGGACGTTCCCTATGTCACTTGCAATGTCTCTGCATTGCTTTACTACCAAACCAACATAAGATAAATCCTGACTACTAGAATTAAAACTAGTGCATAAATTCATACAGTCTGAATCAACAAAATAAAAAGACATCGGGCGATTCTTCAACCAAGAAAGGGCTTCCTTAAACGCTAAGGCCTCCGCAAGATAAGCATCTGACACACCCGGCAGCCTCCCACCACACGCCGCTATGAACTCACCATTGTGATGCCTTATAACCACGCCAAAAGAGGCATACTGACCATGCAGAGCAGCGTCTATGTTGCATTTTAACGTTCCAACCGGCGATGGCACCCAAGCATGTGTTGGACTTTGCTGGGGATTCAAGTTAGAGTTTATAATACCCTCCCATGCGTTAAGCTCGTTACTCACATAACCTCGCATTTGGGTAATAGTCCACAGCTTCCCGTTCCACACGACATCATTCCTAACCTTCCACATAATCCAGAACCTGCATGCCATTACCACAGCTCGTGCTTCATCTTGATGGTTTAGGTTCTCCTCCACAAACTGTTCTAGGTTGGTTCCATGCAACACATATGCCACACCCCAAAGCTGACTAGCCATTGGGCATTCACATAATATATGCACAATGGTTTCCATCGCAACAGCACACAGCGGACAAGTGACAACCCCCTCCAACGTAAACCCTTTTATCCTTTAACACCTCCTTTACATGCAGAATTCCCCTCAAACAACGCCATAAAAAACTCCTTATTTTCGGTGGTACCTTCAAACGCCACAGCTTGCGCCAAAGCACAAAAGATTGCACCTGTTGGACACTATTATTTTCGAACAACAGCTTGTAACCATGTTTAACAGTATACTGCCCCCAAGTCATTCCTCCAGCACCACACATCGCTATGCTCCACTGCAGTTGGTGTACTTAAAACCCTGTTCACGTCAGTAGGCAGTAAAATGTCTCTCAACAAATCTACATCCCATGCACCTTCAGGGGTCATAAGGTTACTTATTGTGGCATGTCTTAACTCCTCGTAATAGTCTGTGTCTAACCTCGGATTGTCCACATCCGCCAACCAGTTAACACCCCAAACTAGCGTGTCCCTTCCATTCCCAATCCTTTGGCCGACCCCCTCCCTCAACAGATGTTGTGCCGCCAAAATGATTCTCCATAAGTAACTAGGATTGTGGCCCAAAGTTGCTGTTAAAAAGTTCCCATTCGGAAAGTACCTAGCTTTTAAAATCCTGCAAACAAGGGAGTTAGGAGTGGTGAGGATACGCCACCCCTGCTTAGCTAGCAATGCAATGTTGAACTCATGCAACCTCTTGAAACCCATCCCCCCCACATGTTTCAGATGAGCTAATCGTGCCCAACTGAACCAATGAATCCCCTTCCTATCCGACTCACCATTCTCTCACCAAAACCGATTCATAATATTCTCAATGGCATAACATGTAGATTTTGGCAACAGAAAAACAGACATTGCAAAAATTGGCATTGACGATGCTACACTCTTTAACAAGACCTCTTTCCTAGCTCTAGACAAGAGCTTTTTCTGCCAGGCCGACACTCTATCCCTCACTCGTTGTTTAATATAACGGAAAATTGACCTCTTATTATGCCCCAAAAATGATGGCAACCCCAAATAATTTCCAAAGTGTGGGACTTGCGGGACACCGAACAGGTTCGCAACAAGGTCCCTCGACTGGTGGCTGGAATTCTGACTAAACATGATACTGGACTTATTAAAATTGATAGCCTGACCTGAAGCTGCGCAGTATGCTTGTAAGCAGCTTTTAACCTCCATGGCCTCCATTCCATTTGCTTTGAAAAAAAGCATACTGTCGTCCACGAAGAAAAGGTGGGAAACAGATGGGGCACCCCGTGGTACTCGTATCCCATGTATTGCTCCACTTACCTCCACCTGTTGCAAGATCAAAGATAACCCTTTAGCGCAAATAATGAACAAGTAAGGTGATATCGGATCACCTTGTCTAATACCCCGCGAGGGAACCACCAAACCTGCATCTTCACCATTCAATAAAATGTTATACCGCACCGAGTTAACGCATAGCATAACAAGGTCAACCCATTTGTGGGCAAACCCTAAAGCTAGCATCATACCCTCCAGAAATCCCCACTCCATACGGTCGTAGGCTTTCGCCATGTCCAGTTTCAAAGTTGCCCAACCCACTACACCCTCCCTCTTACGCCTTAGGTAATGCCTTATCTCCCCCGCCATTATTATATTGTTCGTTATCAGTCTATTAGGCACAAAAGCACTCTGACTTGCAGAAATAACATTATCCAGTACCGCTTTCATCCGGTTTGCTACAACCTTGGCAATGACCTTATAGGCCACATTACACAAGGCTATAGGGCGCAGGTCCGCTACTGTCTCAGGGTTTTTTTTCTTTGGTATTAAAACCACATTAGTGTTATTTAGAGCAGGTGAAAAATAGCAATTATTTATACAACTTGTCACAAAATCAGTGAGATCCCTCCCAGTTATAGACCAAAAACTATGGTAAAAAGATGGGCACATACCATCCGGACCCGGAGCTTTATCCGGAGCCATCGAGAAAACTGCGGCCTTCACTTCTTCCGGTGCAAGGAGGTGCACATTCATCTCATCGGTGATACGGCCCTGCACACGCTGCAACAGATTTCCACTCGTAGCAGATGCCCGGAAGATATCAGTATAATACCTTACTACCTCAGGTGTCATAGCCGAACCCTCTAGCCACACGCCCTGGGGTCCCGCAGCCTTAGCAACACATTATTCCGCCGCCAACTCGTAGCAGATTTGTGAAAAAAACCGCATGTTACTATCACCATCTTTTAGCCACAATTGCTTCGCTCTCTGTCTCCAGTAAATATCCTCCTGAGCCAACAACCAGCACAACTCCTTTTCCAACCGCACATACAAGTTCACATCATGCTGCACACGGCTGCTACGCAAACGCTCCAGCCTTGTTCTCAATTGTTGTACTTTCCTACCAAACTTCACAAAATACTCCCCACCCCAGCGTAACAAATCGGCACCACACTGTTCTATACGTTGGATGAATGTCCCCCCCCCCCCCCCCCCCCACAGTCCAGGACTGCTCCACCACCTGCCTACATTCCCCATCCAGTAACCAAGCAGACTCGAACCTGAATCTCCTGCTTACCCGCCGATTTGGCCTTACTTCTAGATCCAGAATTATAGCACTATGATCAGAATTAAAAGTTATCAGATTTCTAATTGTTGCCTCTGAAAACATAGCACACCATTCCACAGTTGCCACAGCCTGTCCAACCATTCTTGCACCCAATGTTCTGTGCATCTCCCCTTCTCCCATGTAAACTCATGGTCTACCATTCCCAGATCATTGAGCCCACAATCGTGCAACGTTCCCGAAAAGCCCCGAATGAGACTATCTAAGTGAACACGACCGCCCCACTTCTCAGCATGGCTAGCTATCGTTAAAGTCCCCAATAACGACCCACGGCAACCTTGATCTCGACTTCAAACCCCTAAGCAAATCCCATGACAACTGTCTATGCGCCTTGGTCAGCGTAGCCATAGAAACAAGTAAGACGCCACGGCTCCTGACCCGGTAGATTGACCATCACGTCAATATGGTTCCTCGAATACCCCAGTAAAGTCGCCATGTCTCGCTCCCTCCACAACAGCGCTAGGTCACCTCCTCGGCCAACCCTATCCACCGCAAACAACCCTTCAAACCCCATCCTTATTCGCACCCTTTCTACAGCAAAAGTTGTTGTTGTTGTTGTTGTTTATTTTTTCATAGTAATGAGCTTCTTAAAATATAATTTAAGAATAATGGTCAAACAGACTATCGAATTGCACAGGATAATGCAATTAGGCCACTGAACTTAAAAAATAATTATTATTGAGTCCTTGACACTTGGGCTTCTATTATTATTCTTCTTTTGGCATCATATGGGCACCTTTAGAAATAGTTTTCTTATTACAGACACCTTTAGAAGTAGTTTTCTTATTACAATTTGTTCAGTTTCTAATTAACAGGGACAACATTATGTTGAAGTTCTAACAATTATTTCTGCTTTTTGAACCTATTCATAGTTGTTTTTCTTGCCTGGGATTAAATCTCCACGCTTGATTAATTTGGACTGAAAATGATTTTCATTCATTTCTGCTACAGGTCAGCCACCCAAAAGGAAGACATGATCGTGGGGTTCTGGATATTGGGGTGTGGCCGGATTGGAAAACTGATTTACAGAGATTGGTCGACAAAAGGAATGAAAAAGCTCCTCTTCTCCGACATCCCTCTCTTCTCCGACATCCCTCATCTTCTCCGACATCCTAGCTTCGTGTTCCTCTTCTCCGAGCGACATCCTGAACTAGTTCCCGGCGGAACCTCCGCGTCCTCGCTTCGGTCTGCCGGTCGCGGCGACTGTGAACTGCGCCGACAACATTATCAGTAGCAACAGTGATAATAATAACTGCAGTGAAGACAAGGCAGAAAACCAAGATGAAGAAGAGGAATAAGAGGAAAGGGAGAAAGAAGAGCTTCGTGTTTTCTGATCGGAGAAGTCGGAAATGGGAAGAAGCTGATTGGAGAAGAAACAAAACATTGTAAAATGACTATAATACCCTAATGATTTGACCTATTTAGATTTTCCGGTCATAATTCGCTGGTAATTTGGCCGGCGTGACCAAAGTTGATAGAAATTGCATAGTCAAGGTACTAAATGAATATTTTTTAAAATCAAGTGTTGCAATTAACACAACCCCAATAGTCAGTGGACCAAAATTGAAATTTTCTCAATTTTCTCTATGTTCTATTAACTTTTGTTATAGTTTACACATTTTAGTATTTACGTATTGAATTTATTTTTATCTAAAACTTGAATTTGGAATATTTAACAAATAGAAAATTTGAGAAATGAAGAATTGAAAAATAGAAAATTGAAGATATGAAAAATTAAAAAAAAAAAAAAAGTGAAAAACATATATATGAACTAAACATTCATTCATATGAACTCTATCTACTTCCTCCAAATTTCTTCCAACACTTCATATAAATTTTTTAAGTGTTCATTTTTGTTCAAGTTTACCATACGGTTTATTTAAGTGCTCGAATAAATTGTAGTAATTTATTGTATCTCGAAAAATCGAAACTTCAACGCTCCTAGCTAGCATCTATAGGAGGAAGCAAATTGATTTTATTTTGAGAAAATAACCTTAATGCATTAAATCATCTTCAAGACAAGTTACAAGATAAACTGGTGGCATATCCAACCACTCATCACAATCTGGCATAGAAACAGCCGCCCGGGCAAGAACGTGGGCAGCCTGATTCGCAGACCATTTTGCAAAACAGAATTCGGCATCATTAATGGAAGATGCCAATTCTTTTATATCTCCTACCAAAAAGCCAAAAGAAGAAGAAAAAGGTTCACCGACTATGGCATTAAAAAGCAATTGTGAATCGGTCTCAACATCAACTGAACCCATACCCGTATTTCTAAGCCAAGTTAGCGCTTCTCGAACACATAGGGCCTCTGCCTCTTTAACATCATAAGACACGTCCACCCTTTGAGTCTTGGCCGCCAGAAAACGCCCATCATCATCCCTTAGTATCCACCCGAGGCCCGTCCGACCATTCTGGCTATCAATAGAAGCATCTGTATTCATCTTCAACCAGCCCCTTCTCGGCCTTCTCCACCTTTCCGTAACCCTCTCCCCCTGCTGCACCCCATCACCTTCCTACGCTGCACACCAATTTTCCCAGTACACCATTGTCCGGCGCAACACCAACTCCATATCCCACGGTTTTGCATTCCACACTGAGTCATTCCTGCTAGTCCACAAGCCCCAACATAACATCATAAATTTACACAATTGGTCCCCATGCAGTAAAGTAGCGCACTTAAAGAGCCATTCAATTACATTGCCAGCAGACACATTACGTACTGGGAGTCCTAGTTTCCTCCATGCCATCCCCGTTTCACGGCAAGCAGCAAAAAGATGGTATGAGCTTTCATACTCATTCCTGCACATATGACACATCAAATTACAATTAACATGCCTCAACGTCAAAGCATCCCGTGTTGGCAAGTAGGACGAAGCCAGCTGCCAAATAAACATTTTCACCTTAGGTGGTACCCTAAGGTTCCAAATAGTCGCCCATGGCCTATCATCATCAACATGTCTAGCAAGGCATTTATAGCAAGACCTTACTGTGAAGGTGCCTTTAGAATCCCACCGCCACACCCACGTATCCGGCGGCTTCCGGATACTAATCGGAATTTGTAAAATTAGATTAGCATCCCTTATATCAAACAAGTCCATTACACACCCCACATCCCAGCACGTACCTTGTTCATTCAATAAAGACACAACCGGGGTGCTTGACACTGATTCATGCAAAACCGTCTGTACATATGGGCACTCATCATCCGGCAGCCATGCATCACTTCCTATCACTGTAGTTCGGCCATCCCCCACACTCCGCCGGCAACCCTCTCTTAGCAGCTGTTGTACCGCCATCATTCCTCGCCAAATATACGAAGGGTTAGACCCCTCTCCTGCTTCAAAATAGGATCCATGAGGATAATACCGTGCCTTATACACAGGGGCGACTAGAGAACTCGGTTCCTTTACCAGACGCCATGCCTGCTTAGCAAGCAATGCTAAGTTCATTTCGCGCAAGGTTCTAAACCCCAGCCCTCCCTTACTCTTAGGTACACACAGCCCTTCCCAAGCCCGCCACCGCAACCCCCTTCCATTTACTGCCGCCCCAGTCCACCAAAAAGAATTCATTATTGTCTCGACCTCCTTACATAAAGTACTGGGCAACAGGAACACCATCATCGCATACGCCGGCATAGCCTGAATAACATTCTTTAGCATGACCTCCCGACCTGCCCTCGACAAAAACCTCGCATTCCAACTCCTTATCTTCGTTAAAATCTTTTCCTTAATGAAACCAAGGACCTCCTTCTTCCGCCTGCCAACCAAAGATGGGAGTCCTAGATACCGGCCAGTAGTATCTCCTTCGTGAACTCCCAAAACTCTCACCACATCATCCCTGGACAGCTGATTTGTATTGGTACTAAAACAAATAACCGACTTCTCATAATTCACCTTCTGGCCCGATGCAGTCGCATAAACATCAAGCACGGCCCTCATCGTGTTACTTTCTTGCAAATTTGCCCTGAAAAACAAGAAACAGTCGTCTGCAAACAGTAAATGTGAAATTGGCAGTGCCCCCCGTGCAACACTCACCCCATGCAAACTCCCACAGCGCATATACTTGTCTATTAAGGCACTCAACCCCTCCGCCACAATAAGGAAAAGATAAGGCGACATAGGATCTCCTTGGCGCAACCCCCGCTCCGGCACAATCGGCCCAACCTGCTTTTATTAAGTAACATATTGGTGACAGAAATAATTCCCGAAAGACTAAAATCGTGAATTTGTATATAACTTAGTGATTAAAATGATCACATATATAATTCAATGATTAATTCTATAACGCAAGTATAACTAATAAACCAAATATGCAATTTTTTTTAATTAAATTTAAAAAAAAAAAAAAAAAAAAAAAAAAAAAAAAAAAAAAAAACCATTAATGCAAAGGGACTGTAGTATACTGGTTAATATGTTAAATTATTACATAAATGATTTGGGTTTCTTATTATTTTTAAACTAGGAGACTGCAGGCCAGGCAAAGAGCAATCTGCCCTGATTCAGGCCAATTCAAGGCAGAAGGAAAGATTTTTAGTTTGAAGAGATCCAGGCCAGGCAATCTTCAACTTTATCTCTTGCTTCAATCGTTTCATTTATTCTTCATGTTATTTCATTAATGATTCGGATTTGTGAGACATGATTAAAACTTGTTCTTCTCTGCAGTAAGTTGCTCTTGAAATAGTGTTTTTTCCCGAGAGAAGCAGAAGGGCTCGCCATTAGGGAAGCACTAAGTTGGTCTAAACGGTTTAATCTGGAGTTCCTTCATGTAGAAACTGACTCCTTGCTAATGGTGGATGGTCTTTCTTCCCTTGTCACCTCCTTTGATCTCCTATTAGTTGATGTTAAAAATTTGTTGAGCACTTTTGCTCATTGTGATATCTCTTTTATTAAACGTTCTGCTAATCGGACGGCACATATCCTTGTCAGGGAGTCCGTTTTTTTGTAGGTAAAGAGTGGTCTTCTGACCCTCCACCATCATCTGTAACTCTCTTTTACATGATTTAATATAAGTTGTTGTTTGCTGTTTGCTTTCAAAAAAAATGATTAAAACTTGTAGGTGTAGATAAAACTTGTAGGTGTAGTCTAGGCATGAATTGTGTAGATAAAGCTTGTAGGTGTAGTCTAGGCTTTATATCATTATGACCACTTTTGGCCTCTGAACAGTTTTGATTAATGTAAAATTTTATGAAAAAAATATTATTTGATAATCATTAGGGGCGAGATACAAATTATGATTTAATTTTGGGAAAAAAGATATTTTATTTTTTGATTATAAACTTTATTGAGACCACTTGAATGGTTATAAATTGAGTGTTTATTTATATTTGTTCCACATCCTCAATCGATGGTGGAGATCTACTTGATCGTATGACTATAATTATATATATAAAATCCTTCTTAAAATTCTATACAATCATATGAGTTCTATAATATTTTATAAGATTCTATAAATCTCTACACTTCTTTATATATATATATATATATATATATATATATATATATATATATATATATATACGCTTCAATCGTGCACATTCTTCTCTTCGAAGTTGTATTGAGAGGTCGTTTGGATTATTGAAGAAGAAATGAAAGATACTTGCTAAAATGCAACAATTTAGTGCGGAGACCCAAATTAATCTTATTATGACCACATTTGCACTACATAATTATATTCGGAACAATCAGTAAGATGACATGATGTTTAATGTGTTTGAGCAGCATTCAGATTACATATCGTCTCGATGAACTTCAATATTCAAATAGTAATATCTCCATCAACGAAAATTTAAGTGAGACCTCTATTGAGATGAAAGAAATTCGCAACAATGTTGTTACTTCATTATGGGATGCTATATCATGATTATGCTAATAGTTTCATTTCAAAATGTTAAATTTTAATAGGTAAACAAACTTTTTTTTTTTTAATACTACTAACTATTACAATGTAGTGAGCCAATAACGCCTCTAATGAGGCTCAAACTCACAACATCCCATATGGGAGTCCAACCCAGGTACCATTAGACCACAAACCTATTTAAATTTATGAATATGTCATTTTTAGTCTTTTTACATTTATAAGCTTGTTGAAAATTTTAGCAAGAATGACTATTTTGTGGTACAAATATATGTACGGTCTTACTTCCGATTTAGGTTGGGTCAAAGTGGATTCGGGTTCTTCGTATGAGACGAAGAAGTTTGATATATCGTACGTTCAAAATGAGTAATAGGTGAATGAGAAATTGATTTTCAAAGTAAACCTATTTGAGATAAATCAAAAAATTTAAACCTAATTTTTTAGTGGCTAA